GTTCTCAGCCCAACCTAATTCCCCAAATCAATCATTCATCGACTAAATTTTTTGAAAGAGTTAAAAAAAAATGAGAAACAATGAAACAAGTGTGTTGAAAAGTATGGGGGTCAGTGAATATGTGGAATAATATGTTTCATCATTCATGGTCATTCTTCTCCTTCAACACCCCTATATCCTATAAAAATAGTTTCAAAAATAAATGTTTGGTTGTTTTATGTACTTTAGTTAAGAAAAGAAGCTTTTAAAATTTTACAATCATCTTTGAAAAGTAAAAATACTGAAAGCAAAATAAAACCATTATGCAGCTGGTTTAGTGTGAAAATGACTTTATTTAGATTGTATATAATTTCTTTTAATGACTGCATCACATGTACAAAAGTTTATTTGAATTCTAGACTCATCATTTAAAAATGTTATGTTTGATCAGAAACTTTTATCTATGATCTACTTCATGCCATATCATGCAACTTTAAAAAACGTTATTTATCTAAATGTAATGATTTATTATATAAAAGATAAGGGGAAAAACCTGCTGTATTTTCTGCATCAAAAGAAAATAAATGAATCAGCACCTGATACAAAACATTTAACAGCTAACAAAAATAATGACAATGAATTAAAATATTCATATACAAAAATGGCTTGAATATTCAGATTTACAGTCTTATCAAATTAAACTTTTATTGAATATATATTTTATCTCTTTTTTTCTTCATGCCACTGGGCAATGCACAATGAAATTGGACAGCAGTTCCCAGGTGCACCAACAGAAAAAATAAAACCACACATATGCGTATGTATGAACACAACACAACACAACACAGATTAAACAAACACAGACAGTATCAAATGAAGAAAATTAATGATGTTCAAAATATGTTTAAAATTGTCAGTGTGCAGCAACATTCATTTTACACAGGCCCCAGGATTCAAGTATTTCATCCTAGAACTAATGGATCTAAAACATTACCCAAGATGCATGCCGTCTTTCATTTTCTTTTCTACTCTGCTGTGATAGCAAGTATTAGAAATGTCCACTAAGGAGGGTAGCAAACAGCTGATTATTTTCTGGGCAACATCTATAACCCTCTGGAGGGTTCTCCTGTCTGTTGCCAAGCAGCTGGCATACAAAACAGTGATGCCATACACCAGCACACTCTCAATAGGGAAACAGCAGCAGGTTATCAGCAATTCACTTTGTAAGTCATTTTCTTTCTGTAAATAAGAGCTGCTGCCTCACTTTCTTGACTATTGCAGTGGTATTACTAGATTCTCTGCTATGTGCATGCCCGGTAACTTAATTTTATCCATCCTCTCCACACAGACTCCAATGACAGGAACACAATCACAAGTGTAAATGGTGTACAGAAGATACACGTACACGTGAGCATGAGAGTAAGGGAGAGATGCAGGCTTATTCTGACAGTTTGTCAATGACTTGTCAATGAGTCCTGATCCAAGCAACAGACAGGCTGAAATAATCCTAGTTGTGTGAACTTTGAGGATATAACTCACTACAGACAGTGCTATAACAGTTGAACAAGCGGATACCTACTTGAATATGGTACTGAGTAGCAAATTAAACGAAAACTATAAACAATAGATTAGTTTTTAAAATTTTTCAAATCAAGTTTTTGAACTATAAACTTAAGGTAATGTTGATTATTCATGAGGATATATTTTAAAAAGTCCTTTAATGTTAAAAGCAATCTGAAACCCTTTTATAAAAACAACTAAAAATCAGAGAATTTTACTTCCAAATTGATTTCATAGGTTTGTAATAGTAAGAAAAAAATCTTTACTTTTAAAAAAATTCTATTAGTAGAGTTTACAAGTATATGACAAAAGGTAAAAAAATTGAAATTAACTTTAATTAAAGTGTTCATATTAATAATATGACAATGTTAAATTCATCATCAGTTTTGTCGATCTCTGCAAAACGTTGCAAAGTGACCACTTTTGTACAAATTATTCATTTGACAATTTGGTATATCTTTACTTTTATAGTTATAAATTTATCATGTATTTGCTGCTGTAAATGAAAATAAATGTTTTTTAAAACAACATTTACTTTACTAATAAATTGGTAAAAAACATATTCAGACAATGATTTACAACTTGAATAATACATCAATTTTTTTAAAAAATGGGACAGTTAAATTGTTTACAAATATTGATATTTTGAAGAAAAAAAAAACACTTCCAATTATAAGCAAAATTCAATCAATAAAATTAAAAGAACACTTATCTGTACAATTCAAATATTTAAAATACTATGTAAACTAATTTTCAAGGACGTTAAATTTCACTAGTGCGAATGAGGAAGCTGATCTAAGATGCTTATTGTTGGCAATAGAACATAGAAGTCAACTTAATTAGTCATGCATTACATGTATACAACACTAATTCTATAAAATATTCTTTATCATTAATAATTTTAAGCATAATTGCTGTGATACAATCAGAAATATCTTTATTTAATTGTTCATGCATTTGAATTTATAAAATACAAATATTATTTGCAAACTTACTTTAAATTTGACTAAGTTTCATGTTTATAATAAGAAATAAAAGTTTTAATCTGTTAAGACAATAAAAGTATTTGAAATAAAAAGTCAAAATCTTATTAAGCCTATTCATTTTTCCAGGTATTTATATTGCATCTCAATGCTAACACAACCTATTACTTAACATGTGGAGTAAATTTCTAGTATTTTTATTAACAAAAAGTTAATCTTAAATTAAAGTAATTAAATGATTCATTAGAACCTTTATTTCAAATTTATATGATATTGGTTAAGAATCACAGTCTACTCAATGTTTTCTAATTATAAATTAAAATATCATATAAACATTTCCCTGCTTTAGAATCATGAGTTTCAGAACTCATTTCTAATATTCAAAATATATATTACCAAATGTAACAAAAAGCAATGGTTAACAACTGTGAATTATGGACAGGATACAAATAAACATTTTAAAACAAAAGCTATATGATCTAACCAAGATAATGATGCAAATAAAAATTCAGTGAATTTACCTTAGCAGATTTTTTAAGTTTTCCCTCTTAAATTACTCAGATCTGTTAAATTATAGAGTATCTGACCTGGTTGCAAGTGGTATTCAAAACATAAAACTTTTACAGTATGGAAGCTTTTCTCAATATTTTCTTTATTTCATTATTCAAAATAGCCCAGATATATCCAATAAAATTTATCTCACTAATTTGGCTATAAGATTCTTAATAGTTTTTGAACCTGCTATTCTAAAGTATTTTTCCAGAGACTTTGAATAACCATTGCTCCAAATTACTTTCATAATATAAGTTAAAATTCTGTCATGTTTAAAAAAAAGTAGGCTGGAGGAAATTCAAACGACATTTTTTTGGTAAGGCAATCTCCACAGTCACATTTAACCAATCTTTCAAAAAATTTTAAACAAATAAGGATTCATCTAAAAAGATGAGTGTAAAAACATTTCAAGGGTCATATCCTTGAAGCATAAAACATTGCCAAGTGATATTTTTTTTATATTTTTTTTTGTTTGTAAAAAGACACTAATTTTTAAATATCCTTATTGAATGTTAAACTAAATTAGTATCTATTTACTTATATCTCAGTATATTTGTATTGAATTTGCTGACTCTTATAAATGCACAAATATATTATTCAGGTGGAGAAACAGATAACTACCAAAGCTGAAAGAAGTACATTTTCTATAGCCTTGCTTATCACAGTGTAAATGCTAGACCTAACTATTTCAATATATTAAAGTCTCTATACACTGAAACCTTTTATTTGTTTATGGTGTTCATTGTGCATATTCCAGATCAGTACACAAATATAAAAATTAATAATAGAAAACATTTTAGTAAATTTTACTAAAATCTTTACCAAATTCAGTTTTACAAATATTTTGAAGGTAAACTGCTTGCATTCATTGGTAATAAGCATAACAAAAACTGATTTACATATTCTTGATATGTAAATTTTGGCATAAAAATGATATAAATTATTAATGCTTTTTTTTTTTTCATTTTTTAAAAAACAAGTCAGCCAAAGATACTGAATATTTTAAACACTCATTTGTTATGAAGTGAAACTGCCTTTAGGCACTTTTCAAAAGTTTGATTGTTTTTCTCAAGTACCTTTAAATCTTCAGAGACAAGCAAAGCCAACACTGATTTCTTTTCAAATTACTTTCTTACAATTAATGAACATAATTTATGGTTTCCACTCAAAAGCCTGTTTTTTGCAATCAACTCAAACAGCATAAAATTACTTTGATAACAGCAAGCTATTCAACAGTGTAATTAAGTCATGAATACAAGACTACCTAAGAAAGTTAACTAATTCAGATCTTCATATGAGAACATCTTATAATAATCATTGTGTAAACATTAATCATAATAACATAAAAAATTGAAAGGCATTTACTTGTCAGTGTCCTGATATGACACACAGTTGATTTCTTCTAATGCTACTAACATCTGCTCTTCTAGTACATAACATATGCACACACTCTACCATACTTTGGACTGTATATCTCTCAGTCAAATGCCTGCTTTATTTCTATTCTTAATAAATTCATTAGTTAATGATACTACATGATTATTAATATATATTTTAATCATAATATTGGGCTATCATTGCTAAAATGCATCAATACAATGAAGAGGATAGACAGAATATTTTAATGAGATATAAACCTAATTAATTTTCTTAGAACACAAATTTTTAGGCTTTCTATCCTTTTAAAATTATAAGAGAAAACAAAAGATATGCATAGAATAGGCAATGGTGCAATGCAAACATGAGCAAAATTTGTCTTGCCAATGTACAGAAACTGATTCTTAATAGAAAACAGGCATCTAAGTTACTTTCTTCCTAGTTATCAATAAAACAATGCTTAATAGTACAAAATATTAAAGATTTGATTAGTATCATAGGAAGGGTTAAAAAAAAAAAAAGCAGAAAGAATAGAGCAATAGTACTTACCTCTGCAGGCCACCATGGATAGCGAGGCACTTTTACCCAGACAACATCACCTGGAAGATACTTTACAGCTGCACACATTCTTGAATAATGGTGAACTTTCTGAAATAAGAAATAAATGTATAACAGGAAACATTTTATCAGATATATATGGCCATATGGCTGACAACTTGGAGAAGACATGTTTTAATAAAAGATTCTCTTTGAATTTTGATTGTCAATAGTTGTTAAATATCAATCAGTAGACACCAATGTCAGCATTCATTGTAATTACAACCTCCTAATCTACCAAATAAATAAAAAGATTTTTTTATGAAAAAATGTTAATTGCAAGAGAAAATTTTTTTAGAAATTATTTTTGTGCTTGTATTTATTCTTGACAGACTTAATGTAAAATGAAAAGTTACAGTTAAACTTGTTCAGTGTCATCCTAGATGGAAGAATCTTTCACCCACATTGCGTTTGGAAGATCTTAAGTCACAAGATCAAAGTGGAAATGTCACAGGCCAAGTTTCACAAAAAAAACTAAAGTAGACTAATTTTTAGATTGACCTTGAAATAATGACAAAGAAGAATATTAGAATTATTAATATTAATAAGATGAAGTTTATTCTAGTTGTTGAGTATATACAGGTTTTAAACTAGTGTCTTTCTTTTTTTTCCCCATTCTAATGTGATAGTTAGGAAGGTGGAATGAGGACTGAACCTTGAATCACTCATTTGCAACTATGATGAGGACAGAATAACTATAGCCTGTGTCAAATAGTTTGCCTTTACATGAGAAAAAATTTCAGTTTCTTACTAAAAGTTGACCTTGTCATGTTTCTATTTCATCTGCCATGTTTGCTTGTTTTCCCATTCTTCAAAAAGTTGGAGTTGTAATCTGGTGGCCTGTTCTTTTGGGGTACTGCTATATTTTTTTTTCTCATGTTTTTCTTCAAATCTCACACATCTCCTTTCCCTGGTAGCCTAGGTAGAACTGCTTTCTGCAGTTACTTCTTTCTGGTGGCTTTTAGCATACTGTTCCACTTGGCTTGTATTGATTATTATAAGGGAACTCAACCTGTTGGCTTATCACCAATGATGTACTAACACAATTTGATTATTAATTTACATTCATAATGGTTTCTTTTCTTTCACAACCACATGGAAATTTGACCAAATTTCTGTTTATAACCAGCCTTCACAAAATTTACTCTTCTGATAAGACCGCTGATAAATATGCCTTTTTACATAAACAAACACATTGGCTAATTGGTTTTTTTAGGTAAGCCTTTTTTTCAAAAATTATTTTGCCTAAGAAAGTACAAGTAACCAATAGCTAGGTCTTTATGTAAACAACTTAGTCTCAAGGATTTTTCAAAATGTTTTATTTCAACTGAGAAAGTAATTTATTATTTATCATCATTTACAACCTGGCAAGTGTAGTGGCTAGGTATACAACTGTACACAATTATACTTTTTTATTTTCAAGTTAATATTCAGATTCAATTCATTCTTAAGAACCTCTCAACTCATCTAATTTCATGAAAGTAATTTTCTTTCAGCAGTAGAGCCCGGCGTTGCCGGGGATGTAACAGTAAGAGATAGATCAAGTATCGACCATCATAAAGACTGAAAAATAAAATTGACAAAGATTATTGTTTAAGGTTGACGGACACGCATGTCTTAATTAGTTTTTTTTTTTTTTTTTTTTTTTTTACGAATTGGTCAAACCCAAATTCAAACAAAAACATTGTTTACAATCGTTATGAGTCTATCGATTGGTGAATAGAATTTTATTATAAACAATTGTCTTGTAAATGGAATTTTTAAAGCATTCTGAATGTAAATAAAGAAAAAAAGTGTGCAAGACAATAAGAAATACTACCTGCCAAAAAAAAAAAGTGGATGTTTGTTTTATCGGCTGAAAAAAATGTAAGAAAATCCCATCCCATATATAAAGGAACACACACACACACACACACACACACACAAACAACCTGGGTTTTTTTTTACCTAAGTCACTCCACGGAATCGCTAAAACATAGAGCATAGTCTGATGAAAAAGACGCCAAAGTTTATGAAAACAAAATTTTATCGTCAAAATGCTTATTTTTTTTATGAAGAGGATAGACTAAATTTTTTTTTTTATTTTTTTAAAATTTTTCCATCTTTTAGAATATTCTAAATTTTGATTTAAAAACCTTGTTTCTCTTTGTCGCAACAAGGGGTAGTAAATAACATAGATAATTTTTAGCGCGTTTTTTTTGTATTTACACACATTAATTTGGAAAATCTTGCAAAAATAAAAAATAATTGTCAGATGTTAATGAAACTTTCAGAAACTATTCACAGATGATCGAAATTATTATAAATATGTTTTTTTTTTATTAAAGTCATGGCAGAAATATTTTTTTTTATATTTATTAACACCCCCATAACTAATTTTATGAAAAACTCTAGAAATTCGAGACCATCGGTTTTAGTGATTACAATAGTTAAAAGCACAAGGCTTTGAAGAATGCAAATCATGTTTTTTTTTTTTTTTTTTTTTTTGGCCAACGTACCTGAAAATCAGCTGTGAATTGTAACATACAAAACTCAATAAAACAAATATATTATTTAGTTTCAAATGCTTCTATTTGTTTTAATTTGTTTTTATGAATATGGACAATATTTTCTGAAAGCAAAAATTTTTTTTCAATAAAAATTGAATTTTTAATACAATTATTTCTTATTTCTTTAATTTTAAAAAAGATTTTTTTAAAATGTTTAAATTGAATTTTTAAAAATATTTTAACATTAGTTAAAAGCAACATCAACCTTTCAAAATGTCTGTGTGAGATTGTCATTGTCTAGCGCTTTGAAAATTGTATAATTTGGACCAATCATATTAGCCATGGTAATTAAGAAATGTAATTTTTGTGTTTATAGTCGGACAGTAATTATCAAGTACGGAAGACCAACCAGAATACAATTTAGTTGCATTATTTGAGTTCAGCATTGTTCTCCGCTGTTAAGCCCTTTACTTTTGCGAAACACGTATGGAGAAGTTAATTTGAGTTTTCAATTTCAACTGAGAAGGGTACCTACAAGTAACAGTATCATCTTATGAAATTTAACTACTGCTAAACTTTAATTTATATGATCTTATTTTTATATTAATCTCAGTTATGACATTTTTCCATAAATGAAATATCAAAATTAATAATAAAATGAATGGAAATACAAATAACACAGTAAAATGTAATAAATGTACATAAAATTATAGTATTTTATGTACACTTCTGATAAAATTTTCATAAGAAAGGTACCTAAATTAATTAGATACCTTTTTTTCTTATGAAATTTAATCTCACTATTAACAGTCTTATTTTTTAATTTCTTTATATTTTCCATAAAGCATCGTAAACGTAAAAATGAAAGCTAAGTACAAAAAAAAAAAAAAAAAAAAAAAAAAAAATTAGAGCGCTGAAAGTTTTCCTTAAAAGTAACAAGGTAAATAATTTGTTCACTTAAATAATTTCACTTCCTTCCATCCGTAGAAAGAATTCTCCTCCCGTAAGTTATCTAAACGTCATGAATGTGCCTTTCGTCAATCGTCAAGCGACGCGAAAGGTTATGACCTGCTTTGTTTTATTTTCAAATTACATTTTTTTTGCGCAGAAGCTAAGTTAAGCTTGGTTCAAAATATTTTAAATAAACAGTATAATTTCTGTTTTTATTAAAATCAGTTTTGAAAAAATGATAATTGATTTTTAAAAGAATATCAAAGTAAGATTTTAATCTTTTTTATCAAATCGAAAAAATGATTGAAAATGATTATCTGTCCTTTTTTTTTTTTTTTTGAAAAAAAAAAATATTTTAACGAAAATTTCAGACGTGCTAGGAACGATTAAAAAATGTAAAAAAATACCCCAAAAATACTTTGATCTTTCCTCTTTAATAATAATATGAACATTAGACGATAAAATTTTGTTTTCGTCAAGTTCGGCGTTTTTTTTCATCGTGCTATGCTCTTTTGTTTACATTTTCGTGGGTGAGTTGTCCCCTTTCATTCTCACGATGTGTCTTAATCGTGTTTTCAAATTGATTTTATTAAAAAAAAATAACTGTGTTTTTCCCATTTTCGGTCCCGTTAGAACCACCACAAGGTAATTTTATGTAGTCCTGTGAAGTTTTTTGTGAAATCGGCTAAAAAATGTAGGAAATTCGATCCAACATATAAACGTTACAGACACACACACACACACACACACACATAATAAGTAAGATACATACACAATTATATTGTATAATACACAAATAAAATGTATTCTATTTTAATTTTAATAAAGAAAATAATATATAATATATGTTGGAATTAACCTCCATAACATATTTTATTTTTTATAATATATTTCAAACTGAACTGTTTATTTAATCTAAAAAATTGTTCTTCTTAACTGTCCATGTATAAAATATTTCATAGTGTTCTTATTTAAAATTGTTCAAAAAAAAAAATCCTTTTCCACTGAGTCTAAAGTCTAATCATTCATTTCCTGAAACCAGAAATTGAACTCACCTATTAACTATGTTAACAAAACCAACAAACCAATAAATTTAAAAATTTGGGTTATTATTATTTTGTGGAATAATCCTCAAAATTCATTTTTTTTCCTTTTTTTTTTAACCTGCCTGTTTTATTTAAAACTATGTCAAAATTTCAACAGAAACATTGCAACAAAAACACATTTTCTTAAATTCTTGCTGAAAATATTATTGTTATTTTTTTTCATTAATTTTAAATAATTTTTATTTTATTATTTAAGCATTTAAAAGAAGCTATCTTTATTAAAAAAAAATAAAAATTCTTTAATTTAAAATTATTATATATACTTTCTTTTTTCTATAAATGTTCAATATTTCTAACTTTAAAATTGTCTGAGAACAATTATGGCTTTTTAATGTTCCTAGTTCTTTTTTTAAGGGTTTTTTTTTTTTTTTATTTTCTTTGTCAAATTTCATACTCATGTAAATTTGAAACTTTTTTTTATCAAAAAAAAAATTTGTTTTTCATTTGAACACAACATCAGGAAAATATTTTATCTAAAAACTAAATTGTCTTGAAATAAATTTCT